TCAGCGCATTAATATTATAAAATATTCTCACCAAGACCTGTGTGTTAGGCAAAAGATCGAGATCTTTACCATCACTGTTGCTTGTATAAAGCAAGTCTTTCAGCTTCCATCTCTTTGATAACGTCCCACTTGAATCGCTCTTATAGCATCTTCTGGGGTCAGTCTTTGCTGATGTTGCTACCTTTGGTGTTCAGACACAGTAAATTCCTCACGTTACACTGTCGAGTTCACCAACTTCCGAGGATGAACATGAATTCGGTTCGAGTTCTTCACTCATGAGTTCTCTCAATGCTAAATGACAAGATCATGGTTTCAAATTGAGTACATTAGCATTAGGAATTTGATCAATGTTCTTAAGCAAGCTGGTTTAAAAAACCTGGATAAGATCACCTAATTTTTCTGTTGTAAAAGATCTCATCTGCTGACACCAGAGACATCTTTGGATCTCGAGACACAAATGCAAACTCAAAATCATCATCTTCCTCTTCAGGTTACATTAGCTGTTTTAGATGGGCACAAGTATCCCCTTGATAATCAGATTCTTGCCTGAATTCCTCAACCACTCTTGCAGCGATCTCAACCATCCTGCGTGAAGAGTCGGTGTTAAAGCTCATAGAGCTTGGGAAAACTGAAACAACTGAGCGAGCCTGCATTTGCATACATGGTAAACTAATTAACAAACGATATGGAATAGGATGAAAGGAAGATAAACAAAGAAAGCAAGATATATCACATTCATCGAACACTGTTTCTATGGGTTTCGTTCCAGACAAGGCCGAGACAATTTTATCCAAATATCACCCATAAAATAAAAAAACACCATTTTAGTACCCTTTGTTCAATATGTATCAAATTAGCACCATTTTTAAAATCAAGGTAAAATGGAGCGCTTGGGAAACACGCCTTGCAAATGTGGCAAGGAGGCGCATCCTAAGGAGAACAACACCTTATGCTAAGGTTGCAGACAACTGGAAAGTGCATCCTCCGAGTTTCCAAGCACCATAAGTTGATTTAGCAACATAAGTGGAAAACATATTTAAAAAAGGACACTTTAAATAAATTTTAAAAAATGCATTTTAAATAAAATTTAAAAAAATAAAACTATAGTAACTAACAATATAATTTGATACATATTATTTCATGAGTTCAAAAGTTTAATGGTGTTAGTTTATATAGACATAATAGAGTGTTTTGATTATATTTGTTAACAATGTGAGATGAAAGCTAAAATGAGTTCTTTTATCTTTTTCACATATAATCTTTAATTTTCTATTTTTTACTTAATCCATTAAATTATGAGTTAAAATATTTTTGATATGTTAAAATATTTAAAAAATTATTTTCTAATTATGAGCTAAATTTTATTAATATGAGAAAAATTAAATTTAAATTAAAAATAAATAAATAAATAATTATATATTTTATGATAATTTTTTACAAAATATCATCAAATTCAGTTTGAGATAAAAAATTATATCTATAATTTAAGTTGAATCCTATATAAAGATATGGATTATTATATTGTCATAATAAATATAAAGAAAATCAAATTTTAATAAAATAAATTTGTTAAATTTTAAATTCATTAGATCACTTATTTTTTATTTTAAAATATTATTCTTAATACCTAAAAACATAAAAAGTAAATAATTATATTGCAACAACTTACTATTGACTATGAAAGATCATAACAGTTAAATATTTATACAAAGTTCACTTCATAATTTATAAGACTAATTGTTTAAAATTTTAGAATATCAAAATATTTAATTTTCATTCATATATATTTTAACTCATAATTTAAATTTAAAAATTTATTTTTTTAATTATGAGTTAAATTTTGTTAAGAAACATTTTGATAAAAAAAATTAAGTTAAAATTAAATCTAAATAAATAATTATATATTTTATAATATTTTTTTTTACAAAATATCATCAAATTCAGTTTGAGATTAAAATATTATAACTAAAATTTAAGTTGAATCCTATATAAAGATATGCATTATTATATTGACACAATAAATATAAAGAAAATTAACTATTAATAAAAATAAATTTGTTAAAACTTAAATTCATTAGATCACTTAATTTTTATTTTAAAATATTATTCTTAATACCTAAAAACATAAAAAGTAAATAATTATATTGTAATAACTTTTTATTAACTATGAAAGATTATAACAGTTAAATATACAAAATTTACTTCATAATTTATAAGACTAATTGTTTAATATTTTAGAATATCAAAATATTTAATTTTCATTTATATATATTTTAACTCATATTTTAATGAATTAAGTAAAAATAAAAAATTAAAGATCACAAGAGAAAAAGGTAGAAGAGCTCCTTTTAGTTTTTATCTCATATTGTTAACAAATATTGCCTAAACATTCCACTATACCTATATAAACTAACATCATTAGACTTTTTAACTCATGTAACAAATATGTATCAAACTACATTGTTGGTCATTATAGTTTTATTTTTTTAATTTTTTTAATTTTTTTATTTAAAGTGTAGTTTATTAAATATGCTTTACATGTGTGCTGCTAAATTAAGGGAAGGCTCGACCTATGGGACGCGCTTCCCAGTTGTCTGTCACCTTAGCGTAAGGTGCTCCCCATAAAACGCATCTCCTTACCATGTCCGCAAAGCGTATTTACACAAACTTGTGTTTTTACCTTGATTTCAAAAAGGTACTAATCTAGTACATATTGAAGAAATGACGCTAATATTTTTTTAATTTTTTGAGTGATATTCGGATAAAATTACCCAAGGCGGAAGATGAAGTAAATTAGGAAAGTAACTTATCAAAAAAAAAAAATGGAAAGTAATTCTTTTTTGAAAGATTACACGAGTTTTACCATGAAAAATAAAAATGATACATGTAACAATATTATTAGTGGGGCACAAAGAGGGGCATAATAAAGGGGAAGAGGATTTCTGTTATGATCTTTTAATTTTATTAATCATACATTTAATTATTTAATTATTATTAATCAAGTCACCAACCATTAATATTAAATAGATGATTTTTTTTTCTATATCATTTTGATTTATCTTCCTATTTTTTTCATTTTTTTAAAAAAATTGTGGTAGATTGAGTCCTAATTTAAACTAAATATATTTGAAATGAATGAAATATAATCAAACATCAAATCAGATAAAAAATTAATATTTAAATTGAAATTGAGATAATTGAAAAACGACTCATTTCAACCGGGGCTTGCCCATCCTTAGTTAGACCTATATACATAGATAGATAGAGGGAGTCTTGGAGGTGCGGTTAAACTCTCTAAAAAAATTTAATTTCTCTTATATTTTACGTATTTTTTTGTAACTTTTATTGATTATGTAATTTCGCACCTTTGATATTTTATAATTTCGCACCCTCTGTATTTATAATATAATCTTTTAAGCTCGTACTCCTAACATAAATTATTGTGTCCGTAACTATTTATATACCTATTGAATTAGATAGACCACCGGTTACTTGCCCAATCATCCATCTAACCATATGTGTTAGGCTTAAACAAAAGTGACCAAAATTTTATGATTGAACCAACTCGCATGCATAAATGATATCTACCATCACAAATATAGAAATCAATGGAATTATTTGTACATCAAAGGGAAAAAGGCAGCATTAAAAGTTATAAAACATTTGGTGATATGCCCATTATAGTAAGCAAACTTCAACATAATTACTTATTTAAACAAATCTTATTATATATGAATTAGTCGAATTAAACTCAAAATTAAATCTATTAATCAAGCCTTAGTTTCGTAACAAGGCTGAAATCTCAAAAACTTTTGAGATTTTATATTTGAGTTTAAGTCTCATTTTGTGTAGGTCTTGTCCTTAATCCTGCAATTATAACTATTATTTATAACCTTGAAAAACTCAAAACTATTCATTTCTTAATTTTTTGGAATAACCCAACGTATATTTGTATCGGGTACTGTAGAGGTTACGGTGATCCTCTTAATATAGTTTGCTCAATTCGTAAATATTAGGGTTTGAACCCTTGAATATTCTTTTCTTATTTAATTTTAATCGTTGCTATTCTTAGAGGTTACGAGTTCGAGTACCAGTGATTAAGCGTTCATTCTCAAATGATTAAGAATACTTAGAACATATACTACTTTGTAATCCCCTTTAAAATTAAATAAAGGAACTCATATTTTTCTGATAAGAAATATTATTTTAATTTTACGTGACAGTTAGATCTCAAATTTAATGACTGATATTATTAATATAATAATATTTCTTCCACATTGTTTCAATAGTATATGAGATGACATGTTAACAAATGAGTGTTTATTTATCAAAATTATAGACTACCATCACATATTATTTCGGTGAATATGAAAGGAAATAATTTGTTGACATAATATAATTCTTTTAAATTTTAAATATTTTTTAAATTATTGGCTTAGTGAAGATATAGAACTGTAATTAACAATAATAAATAAAGAGATTTTATTAAACCAACTATATAAAAACTTGTTATGTATGAGAGAATCCTATTCAGGGACGAATACGAAGTTCGGGTTCCAACCCAATTGGATATGAGATAACCTTATATATTTAGGGATGATTACAATAATACATCTCTATATATTATTATTTTTAATTAAATATTTATTTTTATTAAATAATATTTTCGGGTCAGATCGAGATCAAATTTCAACTCAAAAAATCAAGTTGTGTTTAGATCAGGTGGAGAGTGTATATTTTTTTGGTTGGATCGGGTTGACCGGAAACCCGACCCATGTCCGTCCATAATTCTAACTCATATAGAAATATATTAACGAAATTTTTTTAAAAATATTTAAAGGATGTAACTAAAATTTTTAAAAATTTTGAAGGGTTTAATGATATAGTTTTTCTAAAAATGTTGCCTCAACCTCCACGTTCCCCAATGATAATAAAGTTTCCATTTTCCACTGTATAAAAGGGTGGAAGCAGCGTTTTGTGAAGACAAACAAAGAGGAGAAGGGGAGAAAAATGGGAGAGGAAAGGGAATACAATCATGGGTTCTTTCCATCGGAGGTAAACACACTGGCCGCCATAGCTGAAACTCTCTTCCCTCCGTTACCACCAACTTGCTTTCAAACACAAGAAAAAAACCAGACACCAATAAGTAAAGCTGTTCAGTCTTTCATGGAAGCTTCAGGCTCCGATTCCCAAATTCCGGACAAGGTAAAACTTAATTACGATTATTATACGTTGGAACTGAACTAGAATGAAATATCCGAGGTCAAATGTTTTTTCTGAATAATCTAAGTGATTATAACAATAACGGAATTTGACGATAGAGTTTTTGGATAACTTAAAACTTAAATTTTTTATAGGTTTAAATTAAAAATTTTAAATTTTTTGAAGAGTTTAGTTTACATGTTTTTTTAGAAATAGTGTCTAATTAAAATTTTTAAAAATTTGAGAAATGAGATTTTAAAAAAAAATAATGGAAGTAGTTTAATTAAGAACATTCAAAAAATTTAAAGGTTAATATGAATTTTTAAAAATTATGTGGGCCTAAATTTGTCTATGAAATATTCATCCATCCAGTTAATTTATATCTAATCACATTCTAATTAAATTAACTGAATTAAATATTGGATTCTTTTGAGTAGTTTGAAGTGATTACAAGATAATATATGTTTCATGATCTTTCTTAAATCATTGACTTATAGATGTAATTGTTCTAACTCGAGATCTTAAAGGAGAAAAATATTTTCTTTTATCACTAAGATCATTTGATGAATTTTTTTTGAATATATTCGTGATCTGTAAGGTAGCAGAGATTATATGGAAAAGAGCATTCTTGACATTGTTGATGGCGGTGAGGATGGTGTTGTTGTTGTTGTCGAGTCGGATGGGGACTTTGTTGCTTTGTGGAAGGCCTTGTTTGGGTGCAAAATGGCCTTTTATTAATCGCTTCTCCACCATGCCATTGGCCAAGAGAGAGCAAGTTCTGCAAGCCTGGTTTAAGCATCGATGGATCTTTACTCCTATTAGATCTACTTTGGTCTACTTCAAAATGGTCATCCTTTACAATATCTTCACCAGGGTAAATTACTAATTCATCACTTATTAATCCCTTCTTTTATTAGGGTAAACTATATCAGTGTCATTATCTGATTGGAGTATTAAATTTATTGAATTAAATTGATAGAATATACAAGTATTAAGGATCAAATGTATAATTTTACTAATTTTATTAACTACCACGTCAGCACTTCCGTCAAATGTTAACGGCGTGTGGCTTAATTGAATACATTTAAATAATTGAGTGACTTGATTGATAAAAATTCAAAAATAATGGTCAAAATAAAAAGAGACAATAGCTAGATGGTCACTGGTATAATTTACCCTATTTGTTATTTAGAATCAGATTGAATTAAATCAACCGGTTGAACTAGAAATTCAATGGTCCCATTGATGGAATAAGATGGGTAAAATTGAAAAATTATACAAACTATTGAAACATTGAAAAAATTGAAAAATTATACAAACTATTGAAACATTGAAAAAAAAATAATAATAAGTTCAACCGTATAAGAGATTGAACTAGGATCAAATATTATGAGTAAGGATATGCATTTGTCATGACTCAATCCTATAAGGTCAACTTTTTCTTATAAAAAAATTTAAGTTGAGTTGGATCGAGTTTTTTAAGGTTAAATATATGTTGAGTTTGAGTTTAGGATGAACAATACTTGATCAGACAAAAAAAAAATATAATTGACTTTTGTATATTTAGAGATAATTGCTATAATACCCTTACATCTATATATTTTTTTTCAATTTGGTTCTTATATCTATATATTTGTCCCTATTTCAGTTACATTTTGATCTTTCAGGTGGATAAAAATGGTGAAAATCCATTATGGGAAGCAATTGGGTATGCTATTGACAAAGTTGAGAATGTTCCAAATGATAGACCTCTTCAAAAAGGAATAATCGAGACATTGCATGCAAAAGACTCCACTGAACTTCGTATTTCACTAACAAATAAAGGCCTTCAAGTCACAGAAGATCCCCGGAAAAACGTCCTCAAGATCAAATGCGACGCGGTGGTAATCGGCTCAGGATGCGGAGGAGGTGTCGCTGCAGCGACGCTTGCCGGTTTGGGCCTGAAGGTGGTCGTATTAGAAAAAGGAGAGTATTATGGTCCTGCGGATTATTCCCCCTTGGAAGGTCCTTCATTAGAGAATCTATATGAATCAGGCGGAAGCCATCCGAGTGTCGATGGGAAGATATTGGTTCTTGCAGGTAGGGATGGATCGAGCGGCTGGTACTCCTAGAAATTGTAAATTCTTATATAATTTCTGTAGATAATTTAATTTCGTATGTCCGAAATTTTATAATTTTGGACCATTTAAATTTTTAAATTCGCACCTTTACTTAAGATATTGTCTTCGTCTTTATTTGTAGGTTCCACAGTAGGTGGTGGCTCGGCCGTTAATTGGTCAGCTTGTATAAGAACACCGGCACCGGTGCTTCAGGAATGGGCTGAGGAGTATAAACTCCGGGTTTTCGGGAGCAGGGAGTATGTTTCGGCCATGGATATCGTTTGGAAGAGGCTTGGTGTCACTGAAGGTTGTAAACTGGAAAGCTTCCAGAATCAAGTTCTCTGTAAAGGGTGTCGAAATCTCGGACTTGATGTCGAAAACGTGCCCCGGAATTCTTCCGACGACCATTATTGCGGATCTTGCGGGTATGGTTGTAGAAGAGGAGACAAGAAAGGGAGTGACAGAACATGGCTGGTTGATGCTGTTAACAGTGGCGCAGTCATTTTAACAGCCTGCAAAGCAGAGAGGTTGGTGTTGGAACATAACAGGACAAGTACAAGTACGAGGAACATGAAGTGTTCGGGTGTTATTGCAACATCTTCGAACCAAAACATCACGAAGAAACTGGAAATAGAAGCCAAAGTAACAATCTCGGCCTGTGGGACAATCCACACACCTCTTTTGATGTATTCGAGCCGGCTTACGAATACGAACATCGGTCGGAATCTTCATCTCCATCCGGTCACAATGACATGGGGTTACTTCCCGGATTCCGATTCCGACCTCAAAGGGAAGTCCACGGAGGGTGGGATCATAACATCAGTTCATAAAGTGTTGGGACCAAACAACAAACTGCAAGCCATCATCGAAACTCCATTAATGGGGCCAGGGCAATTCATCGCTTCGTTCCCTTGGGTGTCCGGTCTCGACATCAAACAAAGGATGCTAAAATTCTCGAGAACCGCAACCATGTTAACGATAATAAGGGATCAAGGGTCCGGGAAAGTTAGTACCAACGGACGGATAATGTACAAGTTTGAAAAGTCGGACCGAGACAACATTCGAGTCGGGATGAGACAATCGTTGAGGGTTCTAGTAGCAGCCGGGGCAGTCGAGGTTGGGACTTATCAGAGCGACGGGCAACGAATAACATGCAAAGGGGTAAGCGATGAGGAGTTGGACGAGTTTTTAGACACGGTATCGACAGAAGGTGGACCGTCGTTGGGCGTCGAAAACTGGACCGTCCACAGTAGTGCACACCAAATGGGGAGTTGTAGGATGGGGATTAATGAAAAAGATGGTGCGGTTGATGAACATGGGGAGAGTTGGGAAGCTGAAGGATTGTATGTTTGTGATGCAAGTGTTCTGCCAAGTGCCATTGGTTTTAATCCTATGATCACTATTATGACTACTGCTTATTGTATCTCAAAGGGAATAGCAGCTAGAACACACAAAAATATAGCCTTTACCAACAGGGTTGGTTCAAGTGGTAAGCAATTAGATATCGTTTAAATCGGTCTCAAGTACGAGCCGTTGTGTATGCAAAAAATCCCCGCTAAGAGACTCACCCACCAAAACCAAATGTACACCCTCTTGAATTAGATTAATTCATTCACCATTGTTTATTATTTGAATAAATTACATCTATGGTCATTAATGTGAAGATACGTTCAATCAAAAGATAAATACAAATAAATATGATTGCATCAACAAATGAATCACAAAAGGGATCAAACTATTAAAAACACCACCGACAAAATCACAAATCAGAGACAAGTGACGTGAGAAAACTATCCACAAACACAAACTGCGTATCCAAATCCAATCTGATGGTCCAAAGCAAGAACGATCAGCGGGAATACAAATAAGCTTCACCTTGATAAGTAGAGGTGAATTTCAAATCCAATCCTGAGAAAAGATAAACAATAGAAAATATATAGGCCAAACGAATGAAAACATGTCAAAAGACAGGAAAATATATCATAAAAACAGATAAAAACATGTCATAAAGATAGAATTGTTAAAAATTAAAAATAATAAATGAGAAATAAAGATATAATATAAAAATAAAGGAAAAACAATATACACACGATCGATAATCGGTATCAAAGTTAGTACCGTTAATAAAAATAAAATAACCTAATTCAAATTAGTCAAATCTTTGAAGAAGTCTATCGAAGTCGATGATGAACGAAACAATCTCCTTGGTAACATCTCAGGTCTTAATCAAAGAAATTATGGACAGTCCAAAACCATATTAGCCAAAGCATATATATATATATATTGCAGGCTTGAGACGGCAGATAATATTGGCTTTTGTGAAACATTATTATTATTCATCACCAAATGCCAATGCTAATCGATGCTATAAATCACAATGGATGAACCATTAATCCTTGCATTGAGAAATTATGAACATTTTTGCCCGCACTCAGCCACCACCTCAATGGTCTGCATCTCTTTGCGGTTGCGGCAACGACGTCGGAACTTGTAAGTTTCTCGTTTTACTACCACACAATACGTCGGAACATGAGTACATGAATCAACTAGACTAAACTCGAGATTTGACTTCCAATTTCTTTCTTTTCATATGATCTGAACTCGAAATGCAGGCTGCATAGCATGCTGTCTCCCATGCATCACCTTCGGCCAAATAGCGGAAATGGTGGACGAAGGAAAGAGCTGTAAGAACGCAATATTGTTTCTTAATTTCTTCGAATTCTTCGACAACCAGACATTAATAACGTGTCTGATATAAATAATTCGAATTTGAATTCCGCGAACAGCTTGTGCACAACAAGGTTGCATATATGGGATGCTGATGCTGTGTTCATGCCACTGCCTGCTGTCGTGTGTTTATAGAGAGAAATTGAGAGTGAAATTTGGGTTGCCGGCTGAGCCATGCAACGATTGCTGCATTCATTTTTGCTGTGAAGCATGTGCACTTTGTCAAGAACATGCTGAGCTGAAAAATAGAGGTTTTGATCCATCCAAAGGTCAGTGGCGAAACTTAGTGATAGAGTTTGGAGAGTCAACCTAAAATTTTAAAAAATTAGAGATTTGAATTAAGATTTTTAAATTTTTTGAAGGATATAATTTATATTTTTCCAAAAATAGGGGCTAACTATATTTTTTAAAATTCTGAGAGGTTTAATGAGGATATTTAAAAATTATGAGAGGGGGTTTAGTTAAGAAGATTAAAAAATTTAAAATTTAATTTGAATCTCTAAATTTTTTTGAGAGACTAATTTTTTTTTAAATTTAAGTGTCAAAATAATTGCTCAATTTTATTATATATATATATATATTTATGATAAATTTGAACATTATGTTTATTAACTTTAATTTGTTGCAAAAAAAATTAAAAAATGAAATATTTATTTAAATATATATCTTTATCATGTAAATATACACTTACAGGTTGGAATCATGGAACTCATACTGCACCACCAAGGATGCCTCCTACCATGAAGAGATGATGAGTACAATAAATTGGTTAAAGGAGATTAAATCAATTTCATATTATACATTATTATTGTAAAACATTATTTATGTTTGAAGAATATATGGAATTTGATTTGTTTTGATCTATTAAGATGATGTATCATTTCATTTAAAGTCAAGAGTTTAAGATAATGTTATCCGGTCTAATGTGATATTTATCCATCTATACTTTTAAATTATAAAAAAGAGAGGGGGTTAATATCTCTCCGGACGAAGCCATGCTTCGTCCCTAGATAGAATCAATATATAATTGATATAAGATCTAAACTCGAGTTTAAATCATCAAGAATAAAATATAATACTATATTTGATTTAATTTCCTCGTATCAATTGATACTAATCAAGGTACGAACACATGAATTTATACTAGATGGTACGAACTTAAAAATTTATATTAGAAATTTAGGGAGTGCGATATTATAAAATGTCAGGGGTGCAAAATAGATAATCAATAAAAAATATACAAAAATACGTAAAATATAAGGGAACTTAAAATTTCTAGGTGTACGATCGTACCCTAACACTATCTTGATCCATCTCTGACTTATCATCTCTTCATGGTAGGATGCAACCAATAAAACTTGTCGTAACCGTTTTTCGTCCGGGCACGAATTTTTACTTAGCGGGAAAGATAATGTGGATAAAAAATGATTTTGATAAAAAAAATGTTTTGGGAGTCACCATCGACCTTTTTGGGTTAGGTAGGTCGAATACCTAAAAATAAACTTTTAAAAGAGTTTTTAAGAAAACATTAGTTAAAAGATAAACTAGTATGCGTTTAACCAAAAATTTATTCTTTTTAGAAATAAAAAGGGATTCGTGGTCGGTTATGTTTGGGGAAGGATTAGCACCCCCACAACGCCCAAAATTGATACTCATTAATTATAAATTGTCTCTATTATTGGAAATTTAAGAATTCAAAAATATATTTAATTCATAATCATGTTATTTATTAATATAATTTTAAGAAAATATATTAATATATATACACTTTTATCTTTATAAATAATATATTTATTTACTTATAAATATCAGAAAAGGACTTCTAGGTGCTTTAAGATAGTCCATTTCTTAATATTAAAAAAATAAATAAATATTAATAAAATATTTTTATAAAAATAATTAAAATAAAATAATATATATAATTTATAAAAATATGATATTTATTTATTTAAGAATATCAGAAAAAAACTTCTAGGTGCTTTAAGACAGCCCATTTCTTAATATTAAAAAATAAATAAATATTAAAATATGATTATTTTTCTTAAAAGTAATTTATATAAAATTAAATTTATAAATAGGATTTTTATTTAAAAAAAATAAGTAAACAAATATTATTTATTATATATGTTTATATGACTACATAAAAATAATAACAATAATAATTAAAGTAATAATTTAAACATATTGAAATTGAAATGATAATAATAAAAATAAACTGAAATTAAATAGTGACTAAACATAACAGAAACAAAATGCAAAATACCAAAATTTAGGGACATAATTCGAATTTATCATAAAATATAAATACTAATAGTGTATTTAGCCCTTATTTATTAATAGGTGATTAAAATAAATATTAATTAAATTATGAGGGACTAAATAAAGTATTTAACCTAATATATATATATATATATATATATATATATATATATATATAACAATCGGTCAGGACTAAAAAGAAATAAAACAAAATTCAAAATCCAAATTGAAATACATAGAAAATCAATTCTAGTGGCTAAAATGTAAAATTAAAAATAACCAGAGGACTGCGGAAATAATTTTTCCATTTAGAAATTACACACAAACCCCTCCCCAAAACGACGCCGTTCGGGGAGGGGTATAAATGGCCCAAAATTCGGCCATTTAGGCCATCCCCTCATTTTTCCTATTTTGCCTTCTCTCTCTAAGAGAGAGAAGCTCTCCCTTTTCTCTACAAATCCCCTCGCCGGAGGGAGTCAGCCACACCGGCCGACAGCCATGCTCCGGCTCTGATCACCACCGCCAAAAATTTGGGAAAATAACTCTGAATTTTCCTCTTTTTACCCTAAGGTCGAATATGGCCTCCCTTCGTTCTAAAACCCTCTAAATTTCCCAAGATCTAAAAGAAACCGTAGGTTTTACCCCGGTTTAAAAAAATCTCCTGCGACGGTTTGAAGACCAACGATGTAGGTAAGTCTTTTCTTCCTCTCTCTCTATTTTTCTGATTTTTTTCTTGGTTGCTTGATGATTGCTCTTTGTGTTAGTGTTGCTTTCTCTTCGTCTGTTGTTGTGGTTCTTGCTCACTTCCTTTCCTTGTTTGCAGGTGAACCGAGGCTTTATAGCTTTGATGAGGCTCTCATCGGACCGGTTCCATAGGAAACTTTCGATGTGTCACCATAGCTATGGTGGTGACTCACCATAGGCAACAACGTGGACGGTCAAAGTCATGGCAGCAGAGCTTATGGAGGCTTCGGCGGCAAGATGGCGTGGCACTGGAGGCTTCGGTGGTAAGATGGCGTGGCACTGGAGTGTCGGAAGCTGGGCTTTGGACCACCTGGCAGAGGCGTGGCGGTTGGAAGCTTCAGGCAGCGGCGACGTGGCCCTAGGGTATCATACCCTAGGGTTTTCATCTGGCTCATTGGTGGCCGTTGGATCTTTCCATATCCAATGGTGGTGATTAGCTGGCGGTTGGGGTATGAGACGATGGAAACCCTAATCTAGTTTAAGGTTTCTTTAAGCTTCTGGATCTGGGCCATTGGGTTGTAATGTAAAACGGGCCTCAGGGATTTGGGCTTTGTAATTATTTATTAAATAATAATAATAATAATAATATATATAATATTAATAATAATAATAATTTTAATAATAAAATGAAATGAAAAAATTAGTGTTTACAACTGCCCATCTTTGCTCATTCTTGTGTTAACAAGAATAGAGTAAAGACGAAAAAAAAACAATAATTTTTTTATTTGGCTTCTTTTGAGTAGGATGGAAAGGTTGAAAACATTCTTTCCAGAGGTCCTATTATTTTTCACTGTAGGTCTTACAGATGACCCGAAGGATTTTAAAAATCATGCACTGAAGGGCTTACAGATGACCCGAAGGTTTTGAAAACATCATGCACTGAAGGGCTTACAGATGACCCAAAGGTTTATAAACATCATGCACTGAAGGGCTTACAGATGACCTGAAGGTTTTGAAAAGTATCATGCACTGAAGGGATTACAGATGACCCGAAGGCTTTGAAAACAACATGCACTGAAGGGCTTACAGATGACCCGAAGGTTTTGAAAACATCAAAAAGCTCCTGAAGGCTTTTTGAAAACATCCTGCACTGTAGGACTTACAGATGACCCGAAGGCTTTGAAAATATCAAAAAGCTCCCGAAGGCTTTTTGAAAACATCCTACACTGTACGACTTACAGATGTGGGAAATAGTTTACTAAGTAAGAAACTTTAAAAATCGGTTTCTTACTATTCAACAATTTCATTTTCAAAAAAAGATTAAATGAGAAACTTTGGAAATCGTTTTCTCATTATTTTTCAAAATAACATGTTGATTGGGTAACATGCCCCAATCTCAAGATAATGCTCATTCTTGTGGATTGCGTCCATCTATTCTTCAGATGTTTACGTGATTCCTGCATTTAAGGTTTTGAATTTTACCTTCTTCTTGTAAGGTATCATGAATCTTCTTTTCTCATACGAAAATATGAAAAAACCTTATGTTTGAATGAAATCAAATGTATCAATGTAATGCATTGTTTATTGTGCAAATGATGTTCTTATAAATGCATGAATATTGATGCAATCTTTATTTGACTTCAAAGTGGTGAACTCGGTCTTCCTTCACTTGATCATTTATTTCCAGGGTTACCTTTGGATATCAGTGTAGCAACCTATGCCATAAAGCTGAAGAACCATTTGATCAACTTGTATCTTTGTGTCTTTTTTGTCTCATGAAAGTATCAGAAGAAATGTTTCATTTATGGAACTCTTTTCGTAATCAGAATTATGACCTTGATGCCCCATTTTTGTCTTTAATAACATCGACTTTCTTCGTCAGGATTTGTGTAGAAATCCAATAAAGCTTTCATCTTTGAAAAGAGAATCTATCATCTTTGAAAAGAGAATCTATCATCTTTGAAGAGAGAATCTATCATCTTTTGAAGAATGTAGATGTAGATATGCCTAACTCACCAGGAATTAATTAGGAGAGTAGAGTTTGTTCTGATTTGACTCTTGAAACACATCACAAGGAGGATTTATCCTGATTCTTTTCATGTCTCCACATATAATTGGATCTCGAACAAAGCAACTCAGACTATATCATGTCGAGATGCTTAACAATAACTTGTCGTTCAACCTTAGTTAGATCCACTAGTTTTTTGTTGTTAAAATTTCTGCTTCCCTTCTGTGGAAAGAAATCTTCATCATATCTCATTTCTAACCTTGGGGTTAAAGAAGACATGCTTTATCTTGCATCAACAAATGAAAACCATATGATCACACCATTGGTTCAACACCATATTTACTGGTTCATAAAACATTTTACAACACATTCATCATCTCATGTGATTTCTGCTTAGATGTTCGTAAAACATTTGACAACATATTCATTCTTTCCTGTGGCTTCTGCCCAGATGTTCGTAAAACATTTGACAACACATTCATTCTTTCATGTGGCTTATGCACAGATTTCTGGTTAGGGAAGCTCTTTCATAGTGTTCAGGACTTTTGTATGATGTCATAAGACCACTTGAGACCAAAACTCAATGGGAATACAAGTGAGATGCTGGTATGACCAAAAAGTTGGTCAAATTCACGAGATATTCTAGTGACGAATTGAATAAAAGATATCAACTGGTCTTGATATCATCTCAGGCAAGGGCTAGTGTGATACTGATCACGTTTTCTTCCATAATGAGCGTTGTAGGAAGTAAAAATATATCAGCTATAGGAGCCATGTACAGAAGGAGGTTCATGGAATTCTTACTGATAGATGTAAACTC